GACTATGTTGCTGGACTCCCATGTAGTCGACTGCAGTTCAAGTCCTGGACCCGGTGGCTTAAACTCACACCAGGCACATGTGTGTGCATGACCAAGATCCTGAGAGGAGAATGGAGGAGAAGGGATTGTGTGGCCATCTCCCCTGGTGGTGATTTCTCACTTTCTGTCTCTCTCTTTCTGGTGAGCACACGCACCCTGTAGCAAAAACATCTCCAAAAAAAAAAAAATGGGTAAATGATATGTACAGATCATTCATAAAAAGGAAATTCCAGGAATACAACCCCAGTCATCAGGAAATTGGTAAATCAGGCAATAAAGAGATGCTAATATTCTTTCATGACAGTGGTTTAAACTAAAAAGGGGAGTAACATGGCATGGGCAGAGATTCGGGGAGAAAGACAGTCTCCTTTGTTGCCGGGAGGGTTGCGATCTGCTGCAACCTATTTGGAAATACATTTGGTACCATCAAGGTTACCAACATCAGGCCAGCGGCAGCATTCTGTGAGACTGAAGCCGCAGGGAGGGCCAGGGGTCACATCCCGAGGCCTCCTTGTGCACCAGCATCCCTGTGCCTGGTCCGGGATGGCTGAGGCGGGGCGGGTCACCATGTGAACACCCTGTTGGGTGTGCACCTCTCTCTTGTAGAAGAAATAAGCTTTTAAAAACGACTGAGACTTTTAAAAATTACAACTGTATGTGCTTGTTGCTCCTGTGAACTCCTTATTAGAGAACCCAACCCCCAGATAACAGCACTGGTATAGGACAGACATGGGTGGGTATTTTACTGCTGCATGGGTTATGGAGGCAAAGAAAATAGGCAGTAAGAATGTCAGTGGGAAAATGGTTTAATAAAGTATCGTAAGTTCTTACTCTAGAGTACTATGAACCTATTTACAAGAATAGTCACGGGCCAGCAGGTGTGGGGTTACAACACTGGATCCCACGTAACTGCACAGTTTGAGCACCAGGCCTGGAAGTCTGAAAACACACTGGGTGCGTGCGTGCCTACAATCCCAAGAGGAGAGTGGAGGAGAAGGGATTGTGTGTGGCCATCTCCCTGGGGAGATGATTTCTCACTTTCCCTCTCTCTCCAGCCAGCGTGCATGCCCAAGATCCTGAGAGGAGGGGCCAGCAGACTGTGTGGTGGTTAAGGCTGGACTCCCACATGGTTGCCACGTTCAAGCCCTGGACCTGGCAGCTTGCTTTCTCACTCTCTTTCTCTGGGTCTCTCTGGTCAAATAAAATAATAATAACAATAATAAATCAAATCAATAATTCTATTTTTTTTTAAAAGGGGACCCGAGAAGAGAATACGGGAGGAGAGATTGGGTTGCAGCCACCCTCCCAGGGGTTGATCTGTCACTTTCTGTCCTGTCTCTCTGCTAAGAACATGCACCCTATAGAAAAAAGCTCAAAAAAGGGGCGGGGGTGGGGGGAGGCAGAACTTTTAATGTGTACTTTCCCAGTCCCCTGAAGTTCCATCCTCTTTCTCAAAGTATGAATATCTCAAGGCCAGCAGGTGGCATGGTGGTTAAGGGCACTGGACTCCCACATGGCCAACCATGGTTCGAGTCCCAGACCTGGCAGCTTGCTTTCTCACCTTATCGCTCTCTTTCTCTTACTCTATCCCTCTCTGGTCAAATTAAAATAAATAAATGGATAAATTAAGTAATTATTTTTAAAAAATGTATATACATCCCTCTTTTTAAATACAGATCGGGTGACCCTGAAACACTAACTGAAGCTGCAGCCTCCGGAGGGCATGGCCAGGAAGGACTGCAGTCAGTAGGACCCAGCGTCTCGCACAGGGCAGTGCCGACTATGAGCCCTGGGACTCGCTGGCAGCAGCCCTGAGTAGACTGCACCTCCAACTGCGTCTGGGGCTGCGATCCAGCCCTTCTCAGCCAGCCCTGGGTCACAGCCACACACATAGGCATGTTTGTGTGGTCCCTGGTGTCAACTGGACCTTTCTGTTTGGGCCAGCCTGGTAGCCTGGTGGGCATCACGTTACCGTCCAGCACCATGGCTCTAAACAAAGGTGCGGTGCTGCAGCGGGGGCAGCAGGGGGCAGCAGGGCTGCTGTGTCCTGAAAGTCGTGGGCTTGCCTCCCCAGGCTTGTCCCCCTGCATAGGTACCATGGTTCTGGCTGGGAGGGCTGGAGAGGAGACAGGAGACCCTACTGAGAGTGCTTAACTCAGTCTCTCTCTTCTGCTCAAGAACTAAATAAACGGGCCAGTAGGTGGCATGGTGGGTAAGGGAACTAGACTCCCACATGGTTGAATGTGGTTCGAGTCTCGGACTTGGTCTTGCCTTGCTTTCTCAGCTCTCATTCTGTCCCTCTAGTCCAATCAAAAATAAGTAAAGTTAAATAAAACAATTCTTTAAGAAAAAGAACTAAATAAACTTTAAAAAATGTTTTAAGGAAATAAAGCCAATTGTAGCTTTGTAAAATTACAGTAAATCCACAGGGATTTTTCTACCTCTTCTGCCCACTTGCAGTGTTCTCCAGGTGTTCCGGGCTGACAGAGGAAGATGAAGTCAAGGTCACAGACAGGCCTGTGCATCGTGTGTGCCCTTACATGGAGAGGTGGCACTTGGGGAAGGTGCAGCCTGGCCACCGGCCGGGGACAGGCCCCATGGGAAGCTGCAGGGAGAGGAGCCTGTGACTTGGAGTCAGAGGACTCAGGATGGAGCTGCCACTCTGCCCTCCATGCCGGAGCCTTGTCCTCCACTAAGATGGAGCCAGGAAGAAGCCCCTCTCACAGGCTGTGGGGACGCTCAGCACTAGGCTCAGCGGTTAGCAGTTAGCGACGGTCTCCCTGGCCGGATGCGAGGAGTGTTGGACGCAGAGTGAAAACAGGTGTGAGTTATAATTAGAAATGAGCAATGGGGTTTTTTTTTTTTTAGAGTGTTTTTTGCTATAGGGTGCCTGCACTCGCCAGAAAGCAAGAAATCACCCCCCAGGGGGATGGCCTCACTGCAATTCTTTCTCCTCCATTCTCCTCTCGGGATCTTGGGCACGCACACACATGCGCCCAGTGTGAATTTAAGCTACCGGGTCCAGGCCTTGAACCGTGGCCAACTACATGTGAGTTCAGCAACGTAGCCGTTACGCCAACTGCTGGTTTCTCCTGTAGCAAATTTTAAGAATAATAATGATAAATGATAATGATAAATAAAATTAAGTGACTTAAAAACTTGAAAATAAAAAACAGGCAAGGATGGATGTTGAGGGTGAAACTCTGCCTACCATACCCAACTTTCCTCCCTACCCTCTGTGGCTCTACAAAGGACTTCCCGATTACGGTGAGGAACATACATTAGGTTGGCTTTCTTTTTTTTTTGAGAGAGACTTTTGTGATAGGGTATGTGGACAGACATGCACAAGCACACGCCTGGCTTGAGTTTTAAGCCCCTGGGTCCGGGACCTGAACCATGGTTGACTACATAAGAGTCCAGCAATGTAACGATTATGCCATCTGCTGGTCCCAGGTTTTGGGTTTTTTTTTTTTTTTTTTTTTTAGGCCATGTGAGCTCTCCAGGGACAGATAGAGAGAAAAGGAGAAAAAGCAAGAAATCATTTCCCCACACATTGGGAGGATTAGCCTCTCTACAATTCCTTCTCCATTCTTGAGATTTGGAGCATGTGTGCGCACACACCTGGCCTGAGTTTCAAGCCACTGGGTTAGGTACTCAAGCCGCAGTCGACAATGTGGGAGCCTAGCACCTTGTCACTATTTTATTTTCATTTATTTAAAGTTGAACAGAGACAGACAGAGAAGGAAGGTGAGAAAGTAAGCTGCCAGATCTAGGACTTGAACCACACCCAGCTAACACCATGTCACCTTCCTGCCCAAGTGCTGTACCTTACCCATAACATCACCTGCTGGCCTCCACGTTAGGCTTTTGTTTTTCAAGAATTATTTATTTCAGTATTTTTCAAGAATTACTTATTTATTCATTCATCCATTCATGGTGTGGGGGGGGCAGTGAGAAAGCAAACCGCCAGGTCCAGGACTCAAACCAAGTGTAAGCCATTGTGGGAGTCCAGTGCCCTATCTAACTTTATTTACTATTATTATTTTTTTTAATTTGAGAAAAACACAGAAAGTGAGAAAGCAAGCTGCCAGGTCCAGAACTTGAACTACCAAGCCACGTGGGAGTGGAGTCCTTAACCACCACATGACCTGCCAGCCCGCACAGTAGGTTTTAAGAATACTAAGGGGCTGGTAGGTGACATGGTGGTTGAGGAGCTGGATTCCACATTGCATGATTGTAGTCCAAGTCCTGGACCTGGCGGCTTGCTTTCTCCCGTTCCGTTTCTCTCCCAAGTCAAGTTAAAAAATAAGAATAAACAAACAAGTAATTTGACCATGTGGGAGTGTCCAGCACCTTAACCACCATGCCACCTGCTGGTCCCATAAGCTAATAGTTCTTTAAAGTAAAAATACAAAAACCAACCAAAACACTAAATTCAGGACCAGGAGGTGGCATGGTGGTTAAGGTGCAGGACTCCCCATGGCCGACCAGAGTTCGAGTATCCCTCCAGGCACATGTGGCCAAACCCCAAGAGGAGAGTGGAGAAGGGACTGCGGCAAAAACCAGAGGGGCTCCCCTCCAAGCTCGGCAAGC